AATAGTCAAAGTTTCAATGCAGCTATTGCATTTTAGTATCTTGGTTGATTATCTCCATCTGCTTCTTTTGTTCAGAGTCATCACAGTCATTGTCCCGACTAAAAATAAGTTAAATAAAAATGGCAAAGTATTAAAATAAACAAACCTTTTGATATAATATTGCTTGGTAAGAGTAGACTCAAATTCAGTAGTTTGTCCTAATTTTTGAATTTGACTTTGCACTATTTTTATTATATCTATAAGATTTTTAGGGGCAACAATATTTTTTAACACTAGTGCAAAGCAATATGTAAAATAACTGCCTTTCTCCAGTCCTTCATTGTCATAATCAGCTGTATTGCCACGTGTTGATGCAAATATGGTCAAAATGTCAGCTGAATCTGTCACTGTAACATCAGTCTGTATCTTGGGTTTAGAAGGTAAAGATGGGCCAGGTTTAGATTTTGACAAAGTACATCTTTCCTTGTTGTTGCCACGACAAGCATCGATTACAAATACTTTAGGTTTACCGACAAGAGAATCATGACACTTTGTATTATAGAAATTCTCTTTTAATTTCTGAACTTTAACTTCTGCTTCATCAGTACCATAGACAACACCTTCACCACCATGACTTAGCAATATAAGGAAGAAGGCTCCTGTGTGCTCTTTCTCACTATATTTTTTCACTTCAGCTTCCATTTTTTTAGCTTCTAAATTTGGATGAACTTCGACAACGAATCCAATTGACTCAAATGCATCCTTTAGATTAGCCTGATCTACTCCACCGCATGGAAGATGATTTTCTGAATTTAAGAATTTCATGTTATTAATTATGACACAAAGTCCTGGACCACATTCATATCTCTCTAATGTCATTAAATCTTCCGATTTCATGATATCCTTCCAGAATTCGTTCAATTCAGTTGTAGCCATTTTCTCTTTTTTGACCTGTTATTGACCACAGTCCTAGAATTCTGTAGGGCTATATAGATAGAGAACACCTGACTAAATTGTGATAGTGGTGGAGTATGTTGTGACAGTTAAAATTCTGGTTGTATTAGGGCTGAGTAAGCATCACCTACTATGTCTCATTTACCCATTTACATGCATCCGTATGCAAGCAGCATATCTGTTATGTCAGATATGCATATCAGCATATCTGTATGCTAGCCAAGATCTGTTTAACCCAAGGCAGCCGGGCTGCAGGCTTAATTTTTAGTTTCCCAATTTAAATTATATGAAAAGGATGGCATGAATTAATTTTCAATATTCAGATAAATATCAATGTCAAACATAAGACTTTCTCTCCTTATGAGACAAGAAAGTGATCCTAAAGGGCCACCATCATCAGAGCAGCTAACACCATCAAGTAAGGGAACCTTATTATATGCTATACAATATTTCTTGTGCTTCATTCACAATAGAAGCTTCTTTACAATGACTATTCCGTCATTACAATGCTTGATAAAATTGAAATTGTCTTCCTATTTTTTGTGTAAAGCTATGAGAAATA